ACATATGTCAAGGTCAAGGTCATTGGGGGAGGCTCCCCTAATCTACATTTTTACCGAAAATGTATACTTTATGAAGATACACGTGATTGATAACTATAACTCACACACATGTGCTTTAAAATCTTGAATCAAATATAGTTTTCTAGAGATCGAAATAAGAGCTTTTTATATTTCAAAAATGAATCACAAAAGATGAGTATTAATTTCAAAAGAATTCTTATGTGCTCCACAATCTTGAATTAAATATAGTGTTCTAGGTGAGAGATCAAAATAACAGTTTTTTATATTTCAAAGATGAAGGACAAAAGATCAGTATTAATTTTAATAGAATTCTTATACCAAACTGTCTATTTGAACGAAATACATTTTATTACTAAAAGGTAATGAAATAGAAATTAATATGTATATAAAAAACCTTGGCATACATAATGAGGTATTCAAGTACAGGTTCCAGTTAGACTTAGTCAAATCAGACATAAGTTCGGAACTGTTGGGTATTACTGAAGAAGAAGAGAAGTGAACTGTTGTTTTTTCTACCTTATTATTTTCTTAAATCTAATGACACGTATCATTTGTACGCCAAGTTAAATTCTATCTTTAAAAACCCAAGATGTATTATCCTTATGTTTACTTTGAACTGGCACTTTCGATAATATATGAGTCAATTTTCATGGTAATATCACAGTATATACAGTAGCGCAACTCTCTGTCGGCACCTTTGATGTTAGTGAAGCCTAAAATGGAGTGCGCATGCTCGAAATGGGTAAGTTGCCCAGTAACGCCGTCTACACTTCTATCTCACTTGCTCTAGTTCCTCTTTCTCTCTGTTTCTTTCTAGCTGCCTAGGTTATTTGTATGAACAGCAAATTAAATGTACAAAAACTAAAAGAAATAGATTTATAATTGTAATACGTTGCAAAATAAATAAAAATACAAAAATAAGAAGATATAAAATTATATAAATATTGTATAAATATTATACTGTAAAAATATTTTAATTAAAGATCGGCACATGATGCTTGTTTTCCTGCTAAATTGTTTGCATTTTTTGAAAATTATTAGAATTGTACCACACAGAATTAACACAGATTTTCTAGCTAAAACGTAAGTAATTCAACAGAAGAACACAAGCATCATTTTCCGTAGGTTTAAAATATTAATATGAACAATAAAATTTACTGTTATTTATATTATTACAGATTACGTAATAAGAAAACAGTACTATATCTTTTGACTATATAATTATTGTAATTATAAAAGTATCTAATAATAATTTTATGAAATAAAATCTGTAACAATATAAATAACAGTAAATTTTATTGTTTATATTAATATTTTAAACCTGCGGAAAATGATGCTTGTGTTTTTCTGTTAAATTATACTTACGTTTTAGCTAGAAAATCTGCGTTAATTCTGTGTGGTACAATTCTAATAATTTTCAAAAAATGCAAACAATTTAGCAGGAATACAAGCATCGTGTGCCGATCTTTAATTAAAATATTTTTACAGTATAATATTAATACAATATTTATATAATTTTATATTTTCTTATTTTTGTATTTTTTTTTATTTTGCAACGCATTACTTAATTATAAATCTATTTCTTTTAGTTTTTGTACATTTAATTTGCTGTTCATACAAATAACCTAGGCAGCTAGAAAGAAATAGAGAGAAAGAGGAACTAGAGCAAGTGAGATAGAAGTGTAGACGGCGTTACTGGGCAACTTACCCATTTCGCGCATGCGCACTCCATTTTAGGCTTCACAAAATCAGGAGAGTTGCGCTACTGTATATACTGTGGTAATATGTAGGGGAGAGTGGTGTTGGTTGTAACAAAAAAAATATTTTTGCAGCTAACTAATTTATTATAAATAAGAAAAAATTGAAATTTTTTATGAAAACAAATATATCCTTTGGCATTAATTTCAACTTAATAGATATTTAAAAAAGTAACAAATTATAAATGATATTTATCATTAATGGCATCGCCGCAACTTGTTACAATTGACACCGCGATGGTGTCAATTGTATCACCCCAGGGTGTTGATTGTAACACAAAAACATTGTGAATATATCCATATGAAAATCAACACTATGCTAATAAACAACATTGAAAAAATACAAAAAAATAAAATAAATACAGAAAAATAACTGTCAGATTTTAAACATTGAAAATAAAAGTATTTGTTGTTGTTAATGATGAATAATATTCAGTCGTTCAAACAATTAAAGCAAATGAAAAATCGATCGTTATCTGCACAGGTTGAATGTGCCCATTTCCTGCATTCTGTGCACTGAGCCAGTCTTCTTGACTTTCTTTATAAGACCCATTGCAGACCAAACAAATATATCTTCATTTTCTTCGATACTAACATTACTCATCTCAAATGACTTTCTTGAACATGTTCCTTTCACTGGTTTTTTAATTGATTTTTTTTGTTTCTTTATTAAATTAAATTTTTTTTTATCCTTCAAATCACTAATGCGTTTTTATCTTCTATTGCCTCTTTTTCAGGCGAATCCGTCAAAATTGAAGTCTTACCTCTCTGTCTGTTGTTCTTTTGTTTCCCTTTTGTTCGTGTAACTTTCGGTAATGGTTTTATATCACTTGGAGAACGGAAGATTTGTGTTATAACATTTGATGACTGTGAAGTACTTGATCGTAAAAGATCAGCAACTGTGGACGCATTTGAATTGTCATTGTCTTGACTTGTAAAATTTGTAGCATCTTCATTTTGTGTTTCCATAGGCACATCGGTTGGTAACGATGGAGCAAATTCGTCTTCTCTGAAAATACGATCATTGAAGGGCCATATACCAGTGCAAGCAAATCCAGACATAATATTTGCTGGCGTCGCAGCAAGTGGCATAGCTGTTTTAACTATGCTTGGTAAATCGTAAATCGTTATTCTTTTTCCAGGATTGTTGCGGATCCATTGATCGCACATTGAGTTATAATGCATTTTGAAGGGACCAAAAACGGTTCTGTCTAATGGTTGCAATTTGTGCGATGTATGTGGTGGAAAAGATAGCAGAGTGATGTAATTCTCTCGACAGAAGTTAATTAGCTGGATAGATAAATGCGAGGAATGATTATCTAACAATAACAGAACTTTATTGGTTTCACTCGGTCGTGTATGCTTTGCAAAATGCTTTATAAACATAATAAACTCATCCTCCTGCATCCATCCGGATTTATTAGCAGTTCCAATACAGCCTGAAGACCCATCTCTGATAAAATAATCTTTGAAGTTCTTACGCGGAAATATAAATAAGGGCGGAATTGAATTGCCGACTGCATTTACAGCAATACAGAGTGTAACTAATGTCCCGCGCTCTTGTGAAGTAACAACCTGTTTTGTCCCTTTCACAGAAATAACTTTAGTAGGCTTCTGGACAGTAGTAATGCCGGTTTCATCCACATTATAAATGTTCTATGCTTCAAATTTGAAACGATCCATAACATTAGCTAAGTTATCATAAAACTTGTTGACATTAGCTTTATTAAAATTCATAGCACGCGCTAGGCTTGTTGCTTCAGGCTTACGTAAGGATAATTGTGGATTTCTCTTCATAAAAGCTATATACCAATCTTTACTGGCATACCCAGTAGAAGCCCATTTTTCCGGAAAGTTCAGTTTGTTTTCTTTTGCAAAATTGTAGGCAAGTTTTCGCAAATCTGTAGTCGAAAGTCCATGATAGAAGGATGACGCTTCTGTACAATATTCAAGCATTTTTTCTTGCATGTCCGAAAAAATTTTATTATGTGGACGATAACTTATTGAAACAGTTTCTCCAGTCAACTTCTTTTTCATAAACCTGTTCAACGATACATGGCAAATGTTGAATTTCTTTGCAACACATCTAACAGACTGCTTTAACTCGATAACCATTTGTGAAGCTTCTTCAAAAACCGAAACATCAGTCTTTCCTTTGTTGGTTTTTCGAGGCCTTGGTTTCACCATTTTGAAAATGTGTCTTCTCTAAAACCGAAAACATAGATACAATATCAAATAGTTGTCAAAACTGTGATAATTGCATCTTCACAACTGATAATTCAAACTATAATACGATTATAACATGTTACACAAATTATTTTCTATATAATTTTTGTTTTTTCAGCAGAGAATTTGTTTTTAAAGCAATGAATTTATGTTTATAAAATAGAAAATTTGTGTAACCCTTTATACCATCGATGTGACAGATTTCAAAACCTAACAACAGTTAACTTTAATGATTAATATCTCACTTCGTGGGACTGAGCACAACATTTTACTGCCAGATTCTTTCGTTTCAAGCAAAAACGCTTCGAATGTGAGCATAATTTCATTGAAATTGATGATGAGGAACGTCTTCTAAATAATTACTCATGTTACAATCGACACTACTGTGATTGTTACTTTTGCAACCACCGCCGCTTATTTCGATTTTATACCCATTAAACTTACATGTAAACAATAAATTGAATTGATATATACTGTTGGATAATGGTCGATTAAAGTGGACTGTATTCACTGGATTTCACCTTTATTATGATTAATGTGACAAGACGCACGCTATCTTTTCGGAAGTCTATCGCCATCTTAACTTGTTCGTTTTTCTCCCCTCTTAGTTGCGCGAACGCCACCACGCAACTGCTTAGCGCACGAAACGCATCGAATGCAAATAATGGGCTTTCTTGAGCCTTTGAAAATACTTTATCTTTAGACTTGTTGAATAAAATAAAAAAATGAAATGAACAAATCTCAGCAATTGTGAAAGAAACTCAACATACCCCCCGACATTGAAAGGTACTTTCAATATAAACTATTTGTTTGATTGTATAACTAATGACGCTTATTATAGCGTAAATAATTTCAAACTTAATACTACGCACAAATATTTTGATATATGCGGTCCCTGACCGGAAAATAAACTTAATGAACAACTTAAATTCTAAATTTGAACTATAACTAAGTGCAATTCTGCATAAATGCGATTATTTTAATGTTTACATGGTGTTACTCCATCGGTAACGGACAAAGTTTCGCGATCGCGATACGCGTTGTTCCTGTTGAAATCTGTATGGTAGCCACCCTGGCTATGTTGTCCTTTCCTGGATGGATTGTTTTGATACGTCCAAGCCTCCATTTGAGTGAAGGAAGGTTGTCCTCCTTGATGAGCACCATAGCGCCCTCAGCGATGGGTTTGGTTGACTTCGTTTTGTTTACACGCTGTTGTAGCTCTGAGATGTACTCTTTGCTCCACCGTGTCCAAAAATGCTGCTGTAGACTTTGAATCAATTGCCACCTTGACAACCTGGATTCTGGCAATTCTGTTAGTGTGGGATCTGCTGGTAATGTGAGCGGACGACCAACCAGAAAGTGAGCAGGAGTGATGGGAAGAAGATCGTTAGGATCGGATGACATTGGAGTTAAAGGGCGAGAGTTTAATATAGCTTCGACTTGAACTAATAATGTATAAAGCTCTTCGTATGTTAAAATCGCGTTGCCTGCCACTCGTTTTAAATGATGTTTTGTAGACTTCACCCCGGCCTCCCAGAGACCACCAAAATGTGGTGAGTGCGCGGGTATAAAATGCCAACTAATGCCAATTTCATTCATTGTGTTTTCGATAGATTCCGCGTTATCTCTTAATAATTGCTCTAACTCTTTTAATTCTCTATTTGCTCCGACAAAGTTCGTTCCGTTATCGGAGTACATGTGTGCAGGTTTACCACGTCGAGCTGAAAAACGTCTAAGTGCTGCGATGAATGCTTCTGAGGTTAAATCAGATACTAATTCGAGATGAAGTGCCTTCGTGGCGAAACAAATAAATAAACACACGAAAGCCTTACTTGTTTTACTGCCTCTTCCCTTTCTATCTTTTACTATGAAAGGACCTGCATAGTCCACACCCGTGTTATGAAAGGGCATGGTTTGAGATACGCGTGCTTTCGGTAACTCTCCCATTGGAATTGTTGACTGCCTGGGATTGCTCCGAAAACATCTGATGCAATCGTGCACTGTTTTTCGAGCTAAATTTCTGCCCCCGATCGGCCAGAACTGTTGACGAATTAAACTTAAGAGTGATTGTGGTCCTGCATGCAATAAAGTCAAATGTTCGCCTTTGAATAGAAGTTTTGTAAATTGATGATCTGCTGACAAAACAATGGGATGTTTTTTATCTGAGTGAAACTCTGAGTTTTTTAATCTCCCGCCTACACGTATGAGATTGTCTTGGTCAATAAACGTATTGAGTGCTGCTAATTTTCCATGTATAATGGAATCACTTTGCAGAAGTATTCGCCTCTCTGTTGGAAAGGATTCCTCCTGCGCTAGCTTTGCAAGATTGTGTAATGAGTCTTTTAGCTCAGTTGCTGTTAGACATGCTGACTCAGATCTACTTCGATTTTTGCAATTACTTATAAAACGCCTGCAATATGCGACTATTCGAACTAAACGCCTTAGGCTATTACTAATTCCAAATATGAATGATTTAGTTGGTTGAATGTGTCTAACTGCACAAACTGTACGTCTTACTTCTATTGTTGGAACTTCTGATTTGGGTGTAATAGGCCATTTATCTTCTGAATTTGATAAGAATGACGGACCATGCCATCAAAGCTCCGATTGCCATAATTGATTGGGAAATACGCCTCGCGAAAGTAAATCGGCTGGGTTTTCTGCTGTTGGCACATGTCTCCAGTTGCGAGTATCAGTTAACTCTTGTATTTCTGCGACACGGTTTGATACAAATACTTGTAACTTGCTTGGTTGCGTTTGTATCCAATTGAGTACTATGGTGGAATCACTCCAGTATGTAATCTTGTCAAACGATATGTTTAATGAACTTAGTATCTTTTTCATTAACCGTGCGAGTGTAAGCGCCGCACAAAGCTCCAGTCGAGGTATTGTTTGTTGTTTGAGTGGTGCGACTCTTGTCTTAGAGCACAACAATCTTACTTCACTTGTATTTTGATGATCTATTGAACGAATATATGTGCATGCTCCATATGCTCCTTGTGCTGCATCTGCAAAACCATGTAATTCGATTCTTGTGTAATTCTTGCAAATCACATGCCTAGGTATCTTGATTTGATTCAGAGCGTTTATTTGATTGCGAAACGATATCCAAGTTGAATGCAAATCTGATGGAATTGCTTCATCCCATGACAATTTGTGCATCCACAATTTCTGTATTAGAATTTTCACCAATACTAAACATGGACTCAAGTATCCTAACGGATCGAATATACGAGTTGTGTCGGACAGTATTTGTCTTTTGGATACCTTTAGCGAAGGTAATTCCTTTATGTTGTAAACTAGCACATCTTGATGAGCTTGCCATACTAAACCAAGGATCTTTGTTTGTAGACATTTAAAGTCCATTCCGATTGAATTTTGTTTCTCTGTTTGTATATCTTCTATGACTGTAGCCTCATTTGAAATCCATTTCCGAAGCTTAAATCCTGCTGATTCTAGCACGTGCGAAACCTTTTGTACTATATCTCTTGTTTTCTCTCTCGAATCTGCTCCGGTCAAAAGATCGTCTACGTAAAAATCTTGTCGAATGATTTTTGCTATTTCGGGCCATTCTTGTTCGGTCTCCTTTGCTAATTCTATTATGCACTTCGTTGCGAGATAGGGTGCTGATGCAGTGCCGTATGTGATTGTATTTAACTCGAACACTTCTATTGGATCTTCGGGATTTTTGCGCCATAATATCCTTTGTAACGAGCGCTGTTCTGGAGCGATGCGTACTTGTCTGTACATTTTTTCGATATCTGCTGCTACTACATATGCATGGCTTCTAAATCTGATAAGTATTGAAAATAAATCATCTTGTAATGTCGGTCCGACCATTTGAATGTGATTCAATGAAATACCATTATCTGTGGTTGCTGATGCATCAAAGACTACACGAATTTTTGTGGTTAAGCTCTCACTTCTGATGACCGCATGATGTGGCATGTAATAGGCGGTTGTTGCTTGTGAAGTATTGTCTATCTTGCTCATGTGATGTAATGTTTCATATTCTTCAAGAAATGCTGTATATTGCTCTTTAAGTGTTGGATTCCTTTGCAATTTGTTTTCTAGACTATTCAAACGTCGTAATGCTCCTTTGTATGATTCATCTAAAATGCTTGGATCTTCCTTAAATGGAATGCTAACAATAAATCTACCATTTACATCACGCTTGCTTGTTTGTGAGAAGTGAAGTTCACACTCCTTTTCTTCTTGAGAAAGTATTTTCTGATTTGAATATTCTTCCAGTTCCCAGAACTTGGCCACTTGTTCTTCAATGTTCATGGATTTGCTCAAATGACAACGTATTGACGTTGCGCTACTACTTGCCAATGGACCTGCAACTATCCATCCTAATCTTGTCTTTTGCATTGTTAATTGTGTTTTGCCGAGCTTGAATTGGCCTATACAGAGGAGATTCCAAAACCAATCCGCCCCTATAAGCATGTCTACCTTTGCAGGTATATGAAACTTAGGATCAGCTAAAGCAATGTTTGAAGGAATCTGGAGATTCTGTACATTTACCTGGCTACTAGGTAAATTGCCTGTGATTTCTGGTATAACAAGACATGACAACTGAAATTGATAACTATTGATGCATGATGTGATTTTGACTCTACATTTGTGTTTTACTTGACACGATGCGCCGTTGATGGCTTCAAGATTGACGATTACCTTTGTTTTTTCGAGTTGCAATTCCTCACTTAGTTGGTTGTAATTAAGCTAGATTGCGATCCTGGATCGAGTATCGCACGAACCTTGTGTTTCTTGCCTTGACTATCTTCCACTAATATTGTTGCTGTTGACAGAATGACATGGTAGTCACTTGCCCTATTGTGTGAACACAAGACTGATGAAGAACTATTGGTTTCTTCAGTGTTCCCTGTTGACTCAGACGAGACTTTTTCGAAATGCAATAATGTATTGTGCTTGCCGGAGCACTTTCGACACGTGCCGCCCTTGCAAACCTTGATAAAATGACCTGGTTTCATGCAATTAAGACATAATTTAGCTGTTTTTAAAACTTCTGCTCTCTTTTGCGGAGTAAGTTGCAAGAACTTGGAACAACTTGATAGGTGATATGCTTCTTTGCATACTACGCATTCTTGCTTTTGAATAAGAAACGATTTTGACTTTATGTGATCTGAGTGTTTTGACTTGTGTATGCCCCCTTTGTTTAATTCTAATGTATCCAACAGATTCGCTCTTGAACTAAGAAAAGCTTTGAATTCTTCTAATGTAGGAAGCTCTTTATCCACTCGCTCTTTCTCCCATTCTCTTGCTGTTATACTATCAAGCTTGCTCGAAGTTAAATATATTAGCAATGTATCCCAATGCTCGGTTGACTGCCCTAATGCATTTAATGCTCGCAAATGTTTGTTTAATGTGTCTATCATATTGCGTAATTGAATTGCTGACTCTTCTTTTATTGAATTTATACTAAAAATAGCCTTTATGTGATTGTACGTTAATAGACTTTTGTTATCGAAACGATTGCAAATAGTTTCCCAAGCAATAGCATAATTGGCAGCCGAAAAATCGAGAGATTTGATGATTTGAGACGCTGCACCTTCTAACGAGGCCTTCAAATAATGGAATTTTTGTATAGGATCTATTGTTTCGTTTGTGTGTATAAGTGATTCGAACGTATCTCTGAACCCGAGCCATTCATCTACATTACCTTTAAATTTTGGCAATTCAATTGTAGGCAATTTGATGCCCGTTGGTTTGAAAATAATATTTTGATTAGCTTGTCGCGATAGATTAGGAATAAAGGCAGTATCATCAGTTACCCGTGCGTGTGATCCTCGTGTTGACTCATTCATCGCTGCACCTAGAAGCTGTTGTGTCATCTTACCACGAGCAAGTAACTCTTCTGCATGTGCCACAACGTTAAAATAATCCTCCTCGAACCTTTCTCTGTATTGACTCGTGTCTGTTTCGTCGTTTGTAAGTTCATCGATATTGGCCTGCACTTCATCGTACTTTTCGTACACCTCTCGAATAACGGTAAGACGTTCTTGAATTTCTAACCTACGTGTATCTTCTAATGCCTGTGTGGGGTCTGGAAAACTATGCATAACTTTAGCGATATATGTTTTGAATGTAGTGACTCTACTTTTGTATTGACCTCGACGTTTAACGAGTGCTTCCATTGTGTCGTTGCAATCTAAAGCTAAATGTATTACGAACTCTTTGTATTGTTTCTACGACTATTTGTATTGTTTCTATAACTATAATTTGAGGTTAGGATAGGATTGGGACGTCTGTGTTGTCGCTCGCTGCCCTTGACTGTGCTACTGTGATTGCCGCGCCGCTGCCAAGCCTGATTGATCGCTGCGCTCGATGCTAGATCGCCGTGTTCCTTGGCGTGATTGCTGCTCTTGCTCTATTCTATGGCCTTGATTGAATGTTCAACGGCCGCAATGCAATTTCCGAAAATGCGTCTTGTGTTTAATACGAGCCTTGCGTTATGTTTGCAATCTCGTGTTTTACAATGAAGATAGCTTGCCTTGATGTGCACTATGCACGATGTCTCGATCTCGATCGTTACGGTAATCAAAGAATGCCTCGTGTCTCGTTACCGTTTATCTCGTCGATTGTGTAGCTCTTCTCGAATCCACAGCCTATTCCTCTGTGGATCCGGCTCGAAGGACCAAATTATGTTGGATAATGGTCGATTAAAGTGGACTGTATTCACTGGATTTCACCTTTATTATGATTAATGTGACAAGACGCACGCTATCTTTTCGGAAGTCTATCGCCATCTTAACTTGTTCGTTTTTCTCCCCTCTTAGTTGCGCGAACGCCACCACGCAACTGCTTAGCGCACGAAACGCATCGAATGCAAATAATGGGCTTTCTTGAGCCTTTGAAAATACTTTATCTTTAGACTTGTTGAATAAAATAAAAAAATGAAATGAACAAATCTCAGCAATTGTGAAAGAAACTCAACATATACCTTACTACAAACCTTGATATTCATATATTCATATCACACAGTATCGTCGTATTACAAATTGTTGTGGAACGAGTTGCACTAAAATAATGGCGGGTAACAAAGTTTACAATCTAACCTTGATTTAACAAAAATAGGTGCTGCTACGTTTGCACTTGCGAATGGCCACTCAATTTTTCATCAATGACTTATGTCTGTTAACGGTATGCAAGCGTGCATGCAGTTCAGCCTTTTGTCAATAGATACAGCTATTGCGGTCAATGTTACAATTGACCCTCTGTTTCAACCGACACCACTCTCCCCTATGTATAAAAGTAACGTCAGAACTCTCTCTCCCTTCTCTTCTTCAGTAACATCCAACAGTTCCCAACTTTACGTCTGATTTGACTAATGCTAACTCGAACATGACTTGAATAGCTCATTACGTATGCCAAGGTTAATTTTTTATAAAAACTTACGTGATGTTATCCTTATGTTTAGTAGAATTACATCAACCACAATTACTTAATCGGAATTGACTGATCATGAAGATACACGTGATAGAAAACTCGTTAACACACACGTATGAGTACCTTCAATAATACATGTGTCATTTTTCATGGTATTTCATTATCTTTCAATAATAAAATGTATTACGTTAAAATAGACAATTTGGCATAAGAATTCTTTTAAAATTAATACTGATCTTTTGTGATTTATTTTTTAAATATAAAAAACTGTTATAGTTTGATCTCTCACTTAGTTCAAGATTTTAGAGTGTAAGTTAACCAGTTTTCAATCACGTATATTTTCATAAGTATACGTTTACAAATTATTATTCTAATTAATAATTAATATCGTGAGAAAGGATTGTTCTGATTATACCAAAAAAATTTATTACGTTTATTAGCATATTTGATTATACGTATGTAATATTTTTACATTGGAATAAATACACTAATAAACGTAATAAGTGTTTTGGTATAATGTTATTACGAAATTGATTAACAGAACAATCGTTCCTCACAATATTAATTATGAATTAGAATAATATTTTGAAAATGTATACTTTATAAAGATACACCTGATTAAAAACACGTGATAAGTAACTCACACACATGTGCTTCAAAATTTTGAATCAAATTTCTAGGTGAGAGATCGAAATAACAGCTTCTTGTATTTCAAAAATGAATCACAAAAGATGAGTATTAATTTCAAAAGAATTCTTATGTGCTCCACAATCTTGAATCAAATATAGTGTTCTAGGTGAGAGATCCAAATAACAGTTTTTTATATTTCAAAACTGAATCACAAAAGATCAGTATTAATTTTAATAGAATTCTTATACCAAATTGTCTATTTTAACGTAATACATTTTATTACTGAAAGGTAATGAAATGGAAATTAATATGTAGATATATAAAAAACCTTGGCATACATAATGAGATATTCGAGTACATGTTCCAGTTAGACTTAGTCAAATCAGAAAGTTCGGAACTGTTGGGTATTACTGAAGAAGAAGAGAAGGGAACTATTGTTCTTTTTACCTTATTATTTTCTTAAATCTAATGACACGTATCATTTGTACGCCAAGTTAAATTCTATCTTTAAAAACCCAAGAGATACTATCCTTATATTTACTTTGAACTGGTACCTTCAATAATATCTGAGTCAATTTTCATGGTAATATGTATGTATAAAAGTAATGTCACAATTCTCTCTCCCTTCTCTTCTGCAGTAATATCCAACAGTTCCCAACTTTACGTCTGAATTGACTAATACTGGCTCGAACATGTACTTGAATACCACATTATGTATGCCAAGGTTTTTTTTTATAAAAACCTACGTGATGTTATCCTCTCTTATGTTTAGTAGAATTACACCAACCTCAATTGCTTAATCGGAATTGACTAATCATATTTGCTGTTTAGTAGAATTTAAAAATGTACGTGGTGTAATCCTTATCCTGTTTAGTAGACCAAGATATAACCTAGAGTCTACAATCGTATATGAACTTACCTTTTTTTTTTTACTAAAAAAAAAGTAAAACATGCGCTAAGGGTGCGTGGTTTTGATAAAAAAAAAAAACTGTTTGGGCCAGTTTCACCAACGCCAATTACTTAATCGGCTGTAGAACCGACTAATCATATTTGCTGTTTAGTAGACCAAGATGTAACCTAAACCAAGATGTAACTTAGATCTAATGACATGTATCATTTGTATAAAAGATCTTTGAAAAACCATGTGGTACTATTTTTATTAAATTCTACTAAATTAAATAGTAAAACCTATGTACAATAGTTCTTATTCTTATTGAAAGATCTTTCTATTTCAATCCAAATGGTTTAATTCTTCTTAAAAAAAAATAAATAGTAAAACCCATGTAGTACTATCTTTGTCCTCATATAATGATATATATCATTTGTATAAAAGATCTGATATCATTAGTCGGCGGTAAGTTATTCTGTAAAACCCATGTAGTACTATCTTTGTCCTCATATAATGACATATATCATTTGTATAAAAGATCTGATATCAATAGTCGGCGCCAAGTTATTCTATGAAACCCATGTAGTACTATCTTTATTCTCATATAATGACATGTATCATTTGTATAAAAGATTTGATATTAATAGTCGGCGCCAAGTTAAATTCTAATTAATATCTTTAAAAACCCATGTGGTACTATTCTTATTAAATTCTAATTAATTAAATAGTAAAACCCATGTAGTATTATCTTTATCTTCCTTCATATACAATGAAACCTAAGTACCATGTATGTCTTCTTATTCTTATTGAAAGTTCTTCCTGTTTCAATCCAAATGGTTTGAATCTTCTTTACAAAAATAAATATTGAAAGATCTTCCTATTCCAACCCAAGTAGATTAATTCTTCTTTAAAAAAATTATATCATAATTAATTCAAACACATTTATTGCTTCAATAATTAATAAATTACCATGAAAAGTAACTGATATATTATTAAAGGTGCCAGTTAAAAGTGAACATATAAAAAGAGTGTATATTATTCAAATTTAATAATCAAAATGAACATACATAGATACATATATATAATAAGTAAAGCATTACAATTTGCAGATTACAATTTTCTAGAAAATAACTGAAGGAATAAATGTGTTTGAATTAATTATGATATAATTTTTTTAAAGAAGAATTAATCTACTTGGATTGAAATAGGAAGAACTTTCAATAAGAATAAGAAGACATATATGGTATAGGTTCCATTGTATATGAAGGAAGATAAAGATAATACTACATGGATTTTACTATTTAATTAATTAGAATTTAATAAGAATAGTACCACATGGGTTTTTAAAGATATTAATTAGAATTTAACTTGGCGCCGACTATTAATATCATATCTTTTATACAAATGATACAAGTCATTATATGAGAATAAAGATAGTACTACATGGGTTTCATAGAATAACTTGGCGCCGACTATTGATATCAGATCTTTTATACAAATGATATATGTCATTATATGAGAATAAAAATAGTACTACATGGGTTTCATAGAATAACTTGGCGCCGACTATTGATATCAGATCTTTTATACAAATGATATATGTCATTATATGAGGACAAAGATAGTACTACATGGGTTTTATAGAATAACTTAGGGCCGACTAATGATATCAGATCTTTTATACAAATGATATATATCATTATATAAGGACAAAAGATAGTACTACATGGGTTTTACTATTTATTTTTTTTAAGAAGAATTAAACCATTTGGATTGAAATAGAAAGATCTTTCAATAAGAATAAGAACTACATAGGTTTTACTATTTAATTTAGTAGAATTTAATAAAAATAGTACCACATGGGTTTTCAAAGATCTTTTATACGAATGGTACATGTCATTAGATCTAAGTTACATCTTGGTCTAGGTTACATCTTGGTCTACTAAACAGCAAATATGATTAGTCGGTTCTACAGCCGATTAAGTAATTGGCGTTGGTGAAACTGGCCCAAACAGTTTTTTTTATCAAAACCACGCACCCTTAGCGCATGTTTTACCTTTTTTGTAGTAAAAAAAAAAGGTAAGTTCATATACGATTGTAGACTCTAGGTTATATCTTGGTCTACTAAACAGGATAAGGATTACACCACGTAGATTTTTAAATTCTACTAAACAGCAAATATGATTAGTCAATTCCGATTAAGCAATTGAGGTCGGTGTAATTCTATTA